ACAAAGTTTGAGAATGAAAATGACCTTGACCTTCTTTCAAGGTCACAGGAGTCAAATGTGTCAGACACTTCAAACGACTTCTTCTGAAGAACTGAAAGGTATATAATCTCTATATTTGGCTTGTAGCTTCCTAGGAAAGAGCCGAACAAAGTTTGAGAATGAAAATGACCTTGATCTTCTTTTAAGGTCACATGAGGCAGATATGTCAAACACTTTAAACGACCTCTTCTGAAGAACTGGTAGTTATAAAATGTTAATATTTGGCAGGTAGCTTCCTGGGAAAGAGCCAAACAACGTTTGCGAATGAAAATGACCTTGACCTACTTCCAAGGTCACAGCGTTCAAATATGTCAAACAGTTCAAACAGGTTCTTCTGAAGAATTAAATGGCATAAAATTATATTATTTGGCTGGTGACTTCCCGGGATAGAGCTCACCAAAGTTTGCAAATGATAATGACCTCAACCAACTTTAGAGGTCACAGAGGTCAACAACATTTTAGTGGATTTGTTCTTGAGAACTAAAAGGAATGGATTCATAAGATTTGGCTGGTAGCTTTTTGGAATAGAGCTAACCAATTTGAGAAGGAAAATGACTTTGACCTACTTACAAGATCACAGGGAAAAATATGTCAGCAACTTCTGAAGAAGAATCAAAAAGCATAGAATCTTATAATAATATTTTGCTGGTAGTTTCAACAGATGGAGCCAACAAAGTTTGCAAGGGAAATATTTTTAGTGCAATATAATATTTAATGAGAATATTTTGCTATGACTGCTTAAATATTCAGGTGAGCGATACAGGCCCTCTTGGGCCTCTTGTTTGCTCACACGCATCACTGTACCCAGGATTATTGCGGGAATTTCCACACGTTTTATACGCCCCAGGCGACGAAATAGTATGCGACATAATAGGTGTTGCCGCTTTACACCTTCATTAAAAATATTTACAGCAGTGTTTAAATCTGTATTACTAATTTCCGTTGCATTCAATAACCGGTTAACTTCTAGGAAATTCAACATACAATCATCTTTCTGTAAATTTTGCAAAAACACATCTTTAAGCGCAGGATTCCATTTATATTTAATTGACAACATTTCATTCGAAGTATTACTGTTAAAACCACAGGTTACCATAGACGCCTTCATTTCAAAATATACGGCCATATGATCACTGTAAACATTTGGCAAGTCAACATAGAAGTCAACAATAGATGAGAATAATTCAGGTGAAGTAATTACATAATCAACTAGACTACATCCTCGGTCATTCGCGAAAGTTAACGATCCTATACCCGCGTCTTTTCCTACTCTACCATTCAACATACGTAAACCAGAAGACTTACAGAAATCAATCAACTTCAAACCATTGCTATTAACTCTACCCTTATCAAGTGAATACCACTTACCCATACTGTCCTCTACGTATTCGTCATCTATAGGTATAAAGTAACTTATATCACTTTCAACGAAGTCAGATAACTCCTTTGTTCTAGCATTCATGTCACCTGTAACTTCCTCGTTATTAACAATATCAATTAATATACACAACATATATATTCTATAGGACTTTGAGACCTGGATCCATGTTTGTTCTGTAGCACAGTTGGAAAAATGACTATCTAACTTTGTTTAGATAATCGTGACCCATATTCAAGGTCACAGCGGTCAAGTATATATTATATAAAAAAATCAAACACTGTCTTCTGCAGAACCATAATGTATTAAGTCATGCTATAAGTCTAGGATGAAATGCTGTTTAGGTTGAATGAATCCCTTGACCCACATCCCACGTCACAGTGGTCAAGTTTGTTTAAACTCTCAAACAACTTCTGCAGAACCATAATGAATTGAGTCATATTATAAGTCTAGGATTAAATGCTATTGAAGTTGAATTAAGTACCTTGACACACATTCAATGTCACAGTGGTCAAGTATGTTTTGTAAAAAAATCAAACACCGTCTTCTGCAGAACCATAATGTATTGAGTCATGTTATAATCCAGTATTAAATGCTATTGAAATTGAAAAAATAACCTTGACCCGCATCCTAAGTTACAGTGGTAAGGTTTGTTTAAGTTCTTAAACAGCTTCTTCTGCAGAACTATAATGCATTGAGACATCTAAATTGTCTGAGGTGAAAGACTGTCAAACTGGTTCAATATTTAAACCAGACCCATTTTCAAGGTCAAAGAGATCAAACGTGTTAAAAAATTGGTAGACTGGTTTGGAAAAAAGACAATCAAATTTTAAAGCAGAAATTGAAAAGACATTGAATTAAAGATACTCAATTCTTTATTCAAGATGAAAATGAGCAGAAATGTTGAAAAAATGTACTTTCTGTTGTCAACAGTATGATGCAGGTGAGACTTTAGAAAATAAATTAGACAACTATATGATTATTTGTTCCTTGCGTCCATTATCAGGGTCAGTTGACATTATACACCCTGATGATATTGCTGTGAACTGGGATGATCTCATAGGACTTACCAATGCCAAACTGATATTGAAAGAACACCTGATGATGCCGTTAAAGTTCCCACATCTCTTTAAAGGTGAGGCATTCTTCAGATATCTTCAGTAAGATTCCCCAGTTCGGAAAAGAATATTTTTTATATGTATCAAAGCTTACTTTCAACACAAACATTACATACATATATCAAATGTGAAAAAGTGGAATAAAAATGTTCGTAAACCAACACAATTATCCAGAAAGGAGATCCAACGTCCCACGGGCAATGGTCTGCGGTCTGTCTGGTACAGGTATCAAAAGTGTTGCAATGTGTCAAGACCGACTGGTCTCTTTGTCAAGATATTACTGAGTGAACCATTTGTATTGTTTATCTGTACAACGATGTACATTTTTTATTCCTCACTTGACTATTGGATAAGTTGGCTTGTGCCTAGCAAAACAGAGTGTATACACACAGTGTATGAATGTTCTCCTGGTGAAGACTTCACTAAAGATTCTTAACTTTTTGGCCGAACCTACTCAAACTTGTGACACCTTAGCTATGTTGTGAATAGCCCCATCTACTGATATTTACATACTCAGCATCAATCACCCTACTTATCTTTCAGTATCCATACACAGAGCAAATTGCCCGACTGGTTTACCAATCTATAAAATTCATGCAACATCAGTTGTATATTCTTGTTTAAAAAAATAATTTTGAGTCACATAGGTTGCAGTAAGTATCTAGTGTGGAATAAAAAAGAGTTTATAAGTATAAAGAGCTGCAATTATGATGCTGTGTAAAACCATTGTTTTTATGTAATGATTCGGATACATTTGATTTTGTACTGTGTTGAGCTTATATTCACCTTATATATACACATGAAGTAAGGTGGAATCTTTTTTTAACATTTCAGGATGTGCCATAAAAAATATGTTATTGTACGGGGTAAGTACTCAAGTAACTGTGTATGCAATAAGTATTAAGTGAAGTTTTATAGGGTACATATAAGTAAAAAGTACATTATACAGGGTAAATAATTTGTTGATGGTGTATGGGGATTCTGCTTTAAGAGTTTTACTACAATCAGATGTTCCACTTTAAAACTCCTAACCATTTTAAATAAAGTGTGCAAAGTAAAATATTTGACTATGTTGGTCTATATGCTCCCCGGGTGTGTGAAGTACAATATTTCATCATTTGTCTATGCTCCCTGGGTATGTGCAGTACAATATTTCATAGCTTGTCTGTAGATCTCTGGCTGTGTGAAGTACAATATTTCATTGCTTGTCTGTAGATCCCTAGCTGTATGAAGTACCATATTTGGTTGCTTGGCTGTAGATCTCTGGCTGTATGAAGTACAATATTTGGATGCTTGTTTGTAGATCCCTGGCTGTATGAAGTACAATATTTGGTTGCTTGTCTGTAGATCTCTGGCTGTATGAAGTACAATATTTGGTTGCTTGTTTGTAGATCCCTGGCTGTATGAAGTACAATATTGCATTCCTTGTCTGTAGCCCCCGGAGTGTGCGAAGTACAACATATATATATTTCGTTGCTTGTCTGTAGCTCCTGGTTGTGCAAAGTATAATATTTCATTATTTGTGTGTAGGTCCCTTGGTGTGTAAAGTATAATATTTGATTATTTGCCTGTAGGTCCCTTGGTGTGTGAAGTATAATATTTCATTGTTTGTGTGTAGGTCCCTTGGTGTGTGAAGTATAATAATTCATTATTTGTGTGTAGGTCCCTTGGTGTGTGAGGTATAATATTTCATTATTTGTGTGTAGGTCCCTTGTTGTGTGAAGTATAATATTTCATTATTTGTGTGTAGATCCCTTGGCGTGTGAAGTATAATATTTCATTATTTGTGTGTAGGCCCCTTGGTGTGTGAAGTATAATATTTCATTATTTGTGTGTAGATCCCTTGGCGTGTGAAGTATAATATTTCATTATTTGTGTGTAGATCCCTTGGTGTGTGAAGTATAATATTTCATTAGTTGCCTGTAGGTCCCTTGGTGTGTGAAGTATAATAATTCATTATTTGTGTGTAGGTCCCTTGGTGTGTGAGGTATAATATTTCATTATTTGTGTGTAGGTCCCTTGTTGTGTGAAGTATAATATTTCATTATTTGTGTGTAGGCCCCTTGGTGTGTGAAGTATAATATTTCATTATTTGTGTGTAGATCCCTTGGCGTGTGAAGTATAATATTTCATTATTTGTGTGTAGATCCCTTGGCGTGTGAAGTATAATATTTCATTATTTGTGTGTAGGTCCCTTGTTGTGTGAAGTATAATATTTCATTATTTGTGTGTAGATCCCTTGGTGTGTGAAGTATAATATTTCATTTTTTTGTGTGTAGGTCCCTTGGTGTGTGAAGTATAATATTTCATTTTTTTGTGTGTAGGTCCCTTGGTGTGTGAAGTATAATAATTCATTATTTGTGTGTAGGTCCCTTGGTGTGTAAAGTATAATATTTCATTATTTGCCTGTAGGTCCCTTGGTGTGTGAAGTATAATAATTCATTATTTGTGTGTAGGTCCCTTGGTGTGTGAAGTATAATATTTCATTATTTGTGTGTAGGTCCCTTGGTGTGTTAAGTATAATATTTCATTATTTGCCTGTAGCCCCAAGAGTGTGCAAAGTACAATATTTCATTGTTTGTTTGTAGCCCCCAGGATGTGGTAAGTCCATGCTGATGAAAGCTCTGGCGAGGGAGTCTCGTGCCTGTCTGATGATTGTCAACTCTTACTCCATCATGTCAAGGATGGTCACCGATCAGGCACAGTAAGTTATATTAAACCCTTCTACAATGAGACCATAACTAGAGTCAAATACTCTTAATGGATTAAAGGTTATAAGGTTCGTTATCAAAATGTAACTTTCATTAGCCAAACGTAAAATAATTACAACTCAGGTGGCCATTAAGGCCATTTGACCGCCTGTTACTGTAGTCTTAGTTTAAGGATTTTTTGAAAAGCACTTGTTGTACCCCCCACTTAGAGGAGATGGTATGTCGTTATCACTTTGTTAAGTGTATTATTGGAATAATGTCAAAAAATTATACTGAATTGGTGTTTAATCGTCATGAATAAGCAGGAAAAGGTCAATCAGGCCTAGAATAATAATAAAATGAATATTTGCTGGGTATGTAATTTCACATGATCATTGGTTATTGAATATGTCATAGCAAAATTGAAGGCTCAATGTCAAACACATGGTGGATGAGACGAGAAGACCTGTTTGATCCTTTGATGTACATCAAAAGAATTTGTGGGTTGCATAACGGTAAAATTGACTGGCTTTGAAGTCTAAAATTTACTGGCTTTGAAGTCTAAAATTGACTGGCTTTGAAGTCGAGTGTCGCTCCTCCCCCTCCTCGCTCCTCCGTAATCTTCAAAGGACAGGTATCGTAATCTTCAAAGGACAGGTATCGGTTAGCGATTAGTCATATTTTTTTTTACCTGAGAAGAATCAAATAGCTAGTCGTGGCTTTCAATTTTGCTAGGACATACTCCAGGGATGCAGAGACATACTCAAGGGATGCAGAGACATTCTCCAGGGATGCAGAGACATTCTCCAGAGATGCAGAGAACGGAAGTGAATGTAATGCCAACCCCTGTAGTATCAATGATGACCATTTTTTCTTTTTTTCCCAGGTTCATGAGGGCAGTATTTGCCTGCGCTACAGCCAACCAACCTTGTATTGTGTTGATGGAAGACATTGAGGTGTTTGTTGAAGATGAGTACACAGAGGCGAGAGATGTCCTATTTCAGCTCATGTGTACAAAGGCGATTGATTCCATCCCGATCATCGCCATGACGAGATTTCCATGGTTACTCTACAAAGAAATGAGACTAAAAAGGAGGTAATTTCTAATGTGTTGAATGTCTGGCTATGCCCCTCCAAAGAAGTTGTTATCAATATGTTCCAAATATAGCCACTGCAGTAATGTTTAGGTTGTATTTTTTGTAGTTTCCTGATTTTCACTGTTTTTCGTAGTAACATTTTCCAGCAAAAATTATATCCATCAAAGTAAATGCAAATTAGTCAATCCTTACAGTAGGACTTTGGGCCATGACTACTAGGCCTGAAATTCATGAAAAATAGATCCAAGAAATTGACAGTTTAAGGAAATCTTCAAAACTTGGAAACCAAATTAAAAAGGACTTTACGGTAGCTCATTTATGTCTAGTGCACACACTGGACATGGAACTGGTTTGATTTATATCTCATCTGAAGCACTTACTATATTCCCCGATCGGATATGAAAAGGTATAGGGTCACCTGCCCGACCTTGTGGGTTTTCCAAGTTTAAATAACTTGTTTCATAAATGTTGTAAAATAAATCAAGTTTACATATATATTATACTGACCATATTGATAGAACTTCAATCTCCTATGTTTCCCTTTTATCATGTTGTGTGGTGGGTGGTGAGGCGTTCTATCCTTATGTGCTGTCTATCCATTCATCCATTTATTGTCATTCTCTGTCAAAATCAGAAAGTCCGAGCCTATATCTGTTAATATAGTTGTTCCAGTTTGTTAGCTTGTAAACACAGTTGACTTCAGGCCTCGGAAAATTTGGACTACATTTATCATGAACAGTTTTTCCAACCTATACGTCCATCCTGATTTCTTATTGATGAATGTTGGATTTGCTGCATGTCCAAGGGATAAAGTGAAACTGGATTCATGACAATATTTGTATGAGATTACATTTACAAACATCTTCTTTAACAAAATAACTCAGTTGTTATATAGGAGACAATCTGATCTTGTCAGATCTGGTCAATTTAGATCCTATCAGTAGTGCAATATAGGAGCAGAAAAGTGCATGGCCAAACCAGGGGTTATAAATGTAAACTTTACTTATTTTACAACAATTATGAATCAAGTTATTCCAACTTATATTAATCACTCTTGATGGCCCGGATGTTAGTACGTTGGGGGTCTCATTGTGGGAGGAAACCAGAGTACCTGGAGAAAACCCACGTGGTCGGGCAGGTGACCCCATACCTTTTCATGTCTGATCGGGGAATGGAACCCTGGTCGCCTTGGTGAAAGGCAAGTGGGCTATCCACTGCATCACCTGATGATGGGGGTTTGAAACTGGAACCCAAACCAATTGAGCTCCCTTGTCGCCAGCAATAAACCCAGTCCAGTTCCGCTACATTTCTCCCTCCTTTAACAAAGTCTTTGACGGGGGGAATGACCCCGAAGAGAACGAGTCCCTATACCACCTTCCGTAGGTACATTTGTATATTATAGTAGATTTGAAGAGGATGTATTGATTGTCCACGCTTCTAGTATACACATATGTTTTATAATCCCTTATCAGTCAAATCAGTCTGTAGTTATGACAATTAATGCAGTAGGGCTTCGTAATTCACGCCACGTGTTGGCGAGTGAAAAAAACAACAACACGGTCCGTCGATCGCGACTGCAAATCATTTCAATTAGTAGAGCTATTGTTAACGGGTAATCACAGAGATAGTGTTAGTTCATTACTGCATTGTAATTTGTAAAAAAATATCGGCAAACCACGGACTTTGATAATCTAATTCCGTGGCCAAACTGAACTGTGACATGACCTGGTTTGAAGTGACGTAACCCAAGACGCCATGATGAGCCCTTCTCACTGATCGTAATTATGATCAATAAAAGGTATCTAATTATATCTTTCACCAGGAGATATGCACCAGCGGTTAATAAACATCGAATTACTTATTAATTGATATGTTTTTGTAAGCAAGTAAATGTTTTATGTAAAATATTGCTAAAATGAATTGATGTATGCCGATATGCGCACACGTGTGTCATGTGTGATCAGATAATTCAAAGAAAACAAGCAACAAAATACACATTTTACGTAGTTTCTTCTTGGTTTTAAATATCATTTTACATCAATGAAAAAAAAATCATAGAAATATATTTAAAAAAATATATATTCAGAGATCGATTTTCGGAGCATGAACATCGTTTTTTTTCCAGATTTTTTGGGTGCGCAAAATATTCGAGTAGAACCTTTTTTCCCGATTTTCAGCCTCAAAAAGTACCTGCGCAAATTACACAGGTGCGCAAATTACATGGGTTTTTACGGTACATTGTGTGAAAAATGTAAAAGGAGTGGAAAAATGTACGGCCAGATTGGGGTTCGAACCTGGGACCCTCCGAACTCTAGACAAAGGCTCTAACCAATTGAGCTACCTGGTCACCTGTGACCGACCCAGTCCAGTTCCACTACAAATGTTTCATTTTACATTGCCTTCTGGGGTTGAATAAATTTGTCATAAAGAGTGTACTGACTTACAAGTTGTTTGAAAAGCATTGAACTGGCCACCATCTGAGAACTTATAGGATGAAAACTCTTAAAGTGGTGCCAACATATTTTTGACACTTAGATGCAATCTTGTCCATAAAATTGTATTTGAACACTAAGTGTATTCTGGTCTCTCTATGGAGCAACTGTGATCAATGGCAATTAAGGTATTCTTTCAACTTTAACCCCATAATAATTTCAGTAGGCTCTTGGAACGATTGGCCTTGGGAAGTCTGTTTTGGTTTCAGAGTTTTAGAATCAGGTCCTAGTAACTTTTAATTGCTGAAGTAAGTTTGCAAAGATGTTACATTTGTATCAATTTTTTCCAGTTTCCCGACCCCAGTGTATGTCCCAATGCCAGACGAGGCCAGTCGCAATGTGCTATTCAAAATGCATCTAAATCTTGAATCTTCTGTCACTGAGGAGGACTTTGAGGAATTAGTGAAACATACTGAAGGGTATGTATATTATGTTTTTATTAATGATAAACAGTCATCAATATGGCATTAAAATTATTAGAAATATGAGTTTAACTGTATGTTTGGCTATGAGAAGTCATAAGAAATATGTTAAATTTTGTCCTTGGCTAAGTTTAGTCATAAAGAAAGGTCAAATTGGAAGCAAGTTAAGCTTATAAGTCATTCACAAAGTCAGCATGTTACTGTGCTAAAAATGTATAAGTAACAGTCATTATTTATTTCAATGCCTCTCTAGGGATCAAACCTGAAACCTGTGAGAGTAAGGTTGAGTGTTTTTGTTAATTCCTCCCGGGTCCCTACATCGTTGAAAATGTAATAGAGTTCATTATTTTCTCAATTCCTCCGCTAGGGGTCAAACATTGACCTCTGCTTTTACCGGTCTGAAATTAAAATTGAGTAACATCGGTAGAAAGTAGCTTGTAGCCAGGGTGACAAATGAATAAAAAGTGTTTCTACTTTTGTTAAACAATACAGGTACACAGTATCAGATATGCTTGTTGTGGTGAGAGACGCCCTCATGGAGCCCGTACGAGAAATACAACGGGCTACACATTTCAGGCTGGTGAGCGGTGCCATGATATCTGATCAGAGGGGGACAACATGAATCATGACCTGTATGTTGTTGAACATTTCAGGTTTAGTTACAGTTTTCAGGGGCTGGCTGTTAAGTTGAGAGCAATGGACAGAATTGTTACCCTGATTTTCGGTGAAAGTTTTAATTTTTACATGGGTCTTACAACTTGTGTTGCACCTTAACACAGGGTCATAAAAGGTTGTAAAGATACTGCTTATATCTGAGCTCCTCTTAATATTGATTATCTACATCATTTATAGGGTGTAATTGAAAATGAAACTAGAAATTGGTTTTTGTGAACAAAAACGTACCTCTCCCCTTTAACAGTTAAAAAATTCGACCCAGACAAGATATTCCTGAAATCTTACACTTCTTTGACCTTTGACCTCGAGGTCAAGGTCACAGTGACCTAACGACAGTGTACAGTTCATCGTCTGTGAGTGATGCAGATATACTGCAAGTTTTATCAGGATATTTTTAACTTAGCACTTATTTTACCTTATTATAAGAGGGACTGCTTACTGCTTAATTATCAAATATTATGGGGACCATTACAGAAGTCCTCAAAACTGACCCCATTGTCACAAATGATGCTTGGATAGAGTTTAAAAAGCCATCATATACTTGCATACTAAGTTTAATCACAACAGGCCCAGAGGGCCTGTATCGCTCACCTGGATATCTAAGCAATCATGGCAAAATATTCTCAAAAAGAGATAAAAGGGATAGGGCCAGACCCCAAGGCCAATCCTTGTAGATATCTGTATTTGATTTTTCATGTCCAGGAATTGTTTGTATGGTTATGGGGTGGAGATATCAACTGTTTCCAAGCTGTGACTCAGAAACTAGGTCCCTAGGGTTGTGGCCAGACATCATGGTCAATTATAATATCATGACTGCTGTTGTCTCTTTATGTCAAGCAACTGTATATATAGTTTTGGGGTGGGGATCTCAACCGTTTCAAAGTTATGACCCAGGGGTTAAGTCTGCAAGGGTGGGTCAGACCCTGGGGTCAATTCTAATATCATGACTGCATTCATCTCTTTATGCTCAGCAATTTTAAAAAAAGTTTTGGTGTGGGGATCTTAACGGTTTCAAAGTTGTGACCCAGGATTTAGGTTTCCAAGGGTGGGGCAGACCCGGGGCCATCCTGGAAGCATATGTGCGTTCCTCTCTTGATACTCAGAAATTTTACATATGGTTATAGGGTGGGGATCTTGACTGTTTCCAAGATGTGACTCAGAAACTAGGTCCCTAGGGGTGTGGCCAGACCCAAGGGTCATTGCTAATATCATGATTGTGTTCCTCTCTTTATGCCCAGCAATTCTATATTTAGTTTTGGGGTGGGGATCTCATATAACCACATATTCACCTCAACAAAAGAATAAGAGGGACCAGTTTGTCAATAATTTGATAATTCATTGTCATGTGTGTTGTTTGAAGGAGAGACACCAGTCTGTGGACCAACCAGATGAGATGATTGACATGGAGACTGCTTGTTCATCCTCGGCTCCAGGAGCAAAGAGTAAAAGTTTGGCTGACATTCTACCAAATGACCTATATGTAAAACCAATGACAATAGTAAGGAAAACATTACTGTATACCGGAAAATTTCTGCAGCAGTTTAATTTTCGCCTTTTTATTACAACAGTGAATATAAGTGAACAACATAACATTACTGTATACCGGAAAATTTCTGCAGCAGTTTAATTTTCGCCTTTTTATTACAACAGTGAATATAAGTGAACAACATCACAAAGATAGGAAGTTAATGTGAATGGCGAAATTAACACTGCGTGAACATTCATTACACGGGCATTGGGCGAAAGTTTGACTGGGCGAAAAGCTTCCCAGTTACAGTATATATACAATGCCCAATATACAGTAAAACCTCTACGTAATGCTTCTCGTTTATATAATCTCAATATAATGGCCTTAATTTATATACAGTAAACTTTGATATCATGTCCCTCATTAATATATAGGCAAACCTACCATATATATGATGCCATGGGTTGTTAACCTAGTAACAGCAATGTCAGCAAATAGTCCTGTCTCGTTGAGAAATACCCAGCCGACATATTTTTTACTGTGTTTATAATTTGGTTGGATAGCCTGATACGGATAGATGATTAAAATACTGGGAAATTTTCGTGGTTCCCATTAGGGGGGAATTTATCATAACAGCGAATATCGGTACAAGACATACAATATATAGCAATTACATAGATACAAGTGAAAAAGAGCTGTTATGTGTACATATACTTCAGACTTGATGAAGGAAATGTTTTTGAAATTGATTTCAACCACAAAAAATGTAAAGATCAACTTATATATAAACATATAAATGTTGTACATTGTTTTCTGACGTATGTGATTTCCATTTATTTTAGGACAACATACACAACTGTTTGTCAAGGTGTAAGCCATGCATGAAATCGGACGAATTAGAACAATACACAAAATTCAATGAGGAAAGCAGTACATAGTGATGGTTTACATCTCTGGGGACAATGAATCATGGAGCTGGCATAGTTCTACGAGATGATGGACCAAAGAGTTAGCTTGGTCAAATACAATGATGGACCATAAAGCTGGCATGATTCTTTGAGGATGACAGATTGAAGATCTGGGCTGACTTGGTTTAGTGATGAATACAGATCTTGGAGCCAGCATGACATAGAACTGGCATGGACCAATTGTCTAACGTTATAGCTTGTTAGAGCTTGTTCATTGTTCAAAGAAGAAATAAATCTAGAACTGACTTGATTAATACAGACTACACATTATTGTAATGGCTAGGTTCAATTTCTACACCAACAGACTCACGTGTGCTTTGTCCTCGGTATAGTATTTTCTGTCTTGCATAATAACTACCTGCTGTTGACAAATATAACAATCAATGCGTTCCCAATGTGTTCCAGTAATGTCTGATGTCAGTATCTTCTACCTGCTATTGTAGCCCACACTTAAAGCCTGTAGTCTAAGGGGCCTAAATCAAACATTCTCAGGACGTTAATAAATAAGTGTATTTAGCCTGTAATAAGCCCAGGGGCCAACACATAATCTCTCACTCAAAGTGGGGGATAGGCTTATTACCAGGCATGGTCTTATTGCTGGGTAAATGTGATGCTGAAATGTATTTGTCTTGTATTGAACAAGCTTATATAGTCTGTTTTCTGCTCATTAGTAGCAGGTGCTGTTACATCTTGTATTTTCTGCAATTTTTCATTCTTAAGAAAGATATCCAGCACTATATGGAATTTTCTTTTAATATCATTAATACCATCAATGAAATCAAATTCAAATAGAAGTGCCAGAATGTTTTTAAAAATAATCAGGTGAGTTTGAGGGCATACTTTTCAACCTTTCAAATTTTCATTAACTCATTTACCCCTACATATTTTAACTGGACTTGCCCAGTCTTTAATTTGATAAGGTTCAAATGTGACTTTAGGGGTGAATGGGTTAAGAGAAACCTTTTGTCAAAAATGAAATATTGAAAAGACATTTTTTGTACCTGTTAACTGTAGATGTGAATACTAAGCCATCTGTGAAATGAAATTATCTTGTATCCACTCAAAGAATCCCATGGACCTGGCACAGCTTCCTGACCATCCAGATGAGTTTCGAGTCACATGATCACAAAAGTGTGATTTGTTCAACTCAGTATTTATTTTAAATCTGTAACAACAAGAATGTAATGATGAAGTTTAAAAAATATCAATGGGAACTGTAGCTGAACTCATTCACCCCTGAAGTTTCATAATGAACCAATCCAACTTATGAATTGGAAGAGTTCAAATGTGTCCTCAGGGGTGAATGGCGATGTCCGCTCGATATCTCGAGTAATTATTAACGGATTAACTTCAAACTTCACAACAAGGTTAATTACCATGAAACCTCGGACAAGTTCGATAACCGCCATTATCCGACCATAATTTGTGGAGTTATGGCCCTTTATGGATTTGCCGAAACAGTGTCCGTTCGATATCTTGAGTAATTATTAACGGATTAACTTCAAACTTCACAACAAGGTTAATTACCATGAAACCTCGGACAAGTTCGATAACCGCCATTATCCGACCATAATTTCTGGAGTTATGCCCCTTTACTTGCCGAAACAGTGTCCGCTCGATATCTCAAGTAATTATTAACGGATTAACTTCAAAGTTCACAACAAGGTTAATTACCATGAAACCTCGGACAAGTTTGATAACCGCCATCATCAGACCATAATTTCTGGAGTTATTACCCTTGGTTTCATTAATGCGATGCATGCGTTCCATGATGTTGTATTGCACTCATTGATCTAACAGTTATGTTGAATGATTTCTCTTTTAATATCAATTACTCACAAATACTTCATATATTTCAATCATACAAACAACTGCTCATTCAATGTGTGACGGGCGTATTATATACCGCTCGCGGTAACCTTGTTTGTATTATAATGTGGTTTAGTAAAATTATGTAGTGTTTTCCCTTTTCATTACTGCATCATACAAGTACTTTACATATATATAGGAGTAATGAACAATTTTAATGTAATTTATTTAAATTGTGTACTATGAAATGTAATTAATTTTTATTTCTGTAATCAATGTATTTTTTATTAAAAGTTACTAGTTTACACACATGTTAATTATTCTTTATGTGTGAGTGTTTACACAGTCAGACCTGCTTCAGTGACACCCTGTATTGAAAGATCATCCGTCTATAAAGACATGTTCAAAAGAGTCCCTTAACATTATATAATCATACTTCTGGATTGAATTAGGTTTGTAGGGTTTCGTATTGTATAAGAAGCTAGGATCATTAAGGACATGCCACCATTTGTGTAATGTATATGTATGTGTGCTGGAGGCGATAGTAATGATTTTGCCTCCTGACATTAATGAAGATCTGATGCTGGATTTAGAGTTCTGTCTCACTGAAATAATGCGTCGAGAGGCACCCAGCACAGTGTTCTACCCGGTCACATTATACTGACAAGTTAACCAGTTGATGTACTTACCCTTCAAGTTTTGAACTTCTAGGAGAGAACAACTACCATTTTTAAGGATTTTGTACATAGGTCCTGATATTATTCAATTCTGTCTATAAAAACAACTTGCCTTTACATACCAATATTTCATGGTCTCTAGAGAGGTCTTTATAGACAGGTTTGACCATACTAAATGTCAGCCAATAGAACAACATTATGACCTACCTCTCATGATAAACCCATACAAAGTAATGGGGTATATTTATATGTCACCCCGGTAAAATACTAACCACTTCCTACTGACTTGGCAAGAAAGAATTTCTCTTTAGCTTATTCTGTAGAGCATAAGACCACTAAACCAGAGGTCCCGGGTTCGACTCCTGGCTGCCATTTTGTCTATGTGTTTGTCCCTCATTGCACACATGCGTGCCTGCGTCCATGTCTGTATGAATGGTTTCCAGAAAGTTCCTTCATTCAGGATCATCAAATTTAGTTCAGTTTGTTATGTGGGTAAATGCAGGGAAAACAGAGTCGTGTACCATAGATAGACAATTGTAACCTTAAGTTGACCTCTAACCTCATGCAAGTAAGCATTGTTCTTGTAGCATTCCTTCTTCACCATTTCAAATTATCAATTTGGTTCATCAATACTGTGTAATCAGATATTTGCATGGTTTTCCCAGAAAAAATCGCACCATTTCGTGGGTACAGTACATGAATTCATGGATTAAGAGTACCCTTTCAAACAGAGATAAGCTTCAAGTCAAACTTGTAATTACTTTGTAGACCTATTTATTTGAAAATGAACAAAATTCAAATCCCACAATAGTTAAGTGTTTTTACAGTACATCTAGGAAGGTGAATTGTCCTGAACCAAATGTAGATCACTTTGTTTCCAGAGTATTTCTCTAAAACTGTTTTAAGCGAGACCCTCAAACTTGGTACATATAGGGAGACAAGAGTGTTGTTCCAAAATTAGGTCACTTATATATTTATATTTGCACCAAAATCAAGGTCTATCTTTTCTCTTATAAATACATATTCAAGTATGATCATCACATCACCCTGAAAAAGCTTTGTCACAAAAGTAAGTACGAGGTTAAACAAATGTCAAAAAATGTCTTCCTTATTTTAAAGTTTTAAAATGCTTTCAGGTTATTGATGCAACAACAAATAAAACAAAATACAGCTTTTGCTTTTTTTATAAAGGGGGACAACACAATAGAGATAACAGCATGTTTTCCCGAGAAAATATGAAACTTCCGTTGGAGGTCCTAGTAACAACATGACAACTAAAAATGTATATTTATATAATCTTGATGCTTGTTTCAATTAACATAATAGCAATACTCTAATGGAAGCCTTAGGGCGGATGGTAAACAAACTCCGATTGTATAAAAACAAGAGGTCCATTGGACTTGTATCGCTCACCTGGTTTTATATTTAAGTCATTACAACTGAATGCATTAGTACATCTTTATATGAAATTTCCTCCAAACCAGACAAGATCTATGTTCTAACCCAACTGGGACCACAATATCCGACTTTCGACTAATCAGGGGCCTCCATTGAGTTGCCATGTTAGCAGATTTTGAAATGATTGCCCTCCCCTAATGAAGTTTCAGAGCAAATTTGGTTAAAATCGTCTCTGGTTTTTAGGAGGAGATGCGTTTTAAAGCAAAATTTTAGCTAAGTTCCTCTTCAGGTTCCCGCCGCCCTGGCCTCAGGGGTCGAACCAACCTCATTTATTTAGGAAATGATTGCCCTCCCCCAATGAAGTTTCGGAGCAAATTTGGTTAAAAAGCGTCTCGGNAATGATAGCACTCCCTAGCTGATGCTTCGGACTGTATTTGGTTAAAATCTTTTCTGACGTTTAGGAGGAGATGCATTTTAAAGCAAATTTATTGAAGTTCCCCTTCAGGGCCCCGCCCCCCTTCAGGGCCCCGCCCCCCTGGCCTCAGGGGCTAGAACCAACTATATTTATTTAAGAAATGATAGCACTCCCTAGCTGATGCTTCGGACTGTATTTGGTTAAAATCTTTTCTGACGTTTAGGAGGAGATGCATTTTAAAGCAAATTTATTGAAGTTCCCCTTCAGGGCCCCGCCCCCCTTCAGGGCCCCGCCCCCCTGGCCTCAGGGGTCGAACAACCTCATTTATTTTATAAATAACTGCCCGTCCCTACTGATGCTTCAGACTAAATTTGGTTGAAATCCTCTGTGGCGTTTAGGAGATGCGTTTTAAAGCAAATTTAGCTAAGTTCCCCTTCAGGGCCCCGCCCCCCTGGCCTCAGGGGTCGAACCAACCTCATTTATTTCATAAATAACTGCCCGTCCCTACTGATGCTTCAGACTAAATTTGGTTGAAATTCTCTTTGGCGTTTAGGAGGAGATAGGTTTGAAAGAAAAAGCTGATGACGGACGACGACGGATGCTGTGCCACGGCATAAGCTAACTATGGTCCTTCGGACCAGGTGAGCTAATAAATGTAATTTTCGTCAATGGGTCCAGGTATACAGAATGTAAATATTACGGAATGAATTCTTACAGGATGATTTGTCTGACCCATTGAGATTTTCAGTGTAAGTCAACTATCAACAAACACAACAGAATTATTTTTCTCTGTTCTTTACTCACTCTCTCACTTTCTACATCATGTAGATATTGCTTTCATAATGAACAGTTGCATATCAAAATGTATATATAATAAAATATAATATATGATAATATATATAAAAAGTTAGACATAATACTGTGATTAAAAGTTCTTTTTGATTATGTGCACATTCTCTGATTCGAGTGGAAAAAAATAGTTAGCGCAAAAACAAATCTCCATCCTCAAATTCTTTGCTCTTTTCTGGCTTTTCCTGTTTTTCCTTTGAACCTTTCCGAATGAAAATCCAGGGAGCACTTAGTCTACTTCGATTGCTTTTTACGCTGTGACTAGACACACTTTCTCCCGGACTCTGCATCCGCATCGGAGTTCCGGGAGAACTTGGCGTAGATGATGGTCGGGGGGTTTCTAACATGCTAGTGTTTATTGGGGTCACTAGAGTAAGTTCTAGGTGACTACCGGATTGTCGGACCAAATTCACAACCTCCTCGTGTCTCAACCATTTTGAGTCCTTGCTACCCACAGCTACCACAAAATCACCGACTTTCAGCTTACTAGCCTAAAAATAAACAGAAATCTGAATTCATGTCAATTCTCATTTATATATTTTTTTTAAATCTAAAATAATAATTAATTGGATTCCTAGAACAATTTCTACCACCGATTAAATATAGAAATTGATTTCTATAAAAAAAAAATAGTATTTGGTAACAATTTCAATAATGATGAATAGATGTAAATAATGGTGAATGGAAAAGATAGTAACCAAAGGTTGTATAACACCCTACAAAGTATTGTACATAAGATCAGAGTTTATCTCCCCTATCAAAACATTTGTTCTTGTGTACAGGTTTATAATTAATTAGTCAACAAAGTTTACAAATGTACAAACATCACAGGTAATTTACAGGTTTCTTAGTGTGGAATGCTTCTGGGAAGAAGGTGTCCAAGTACAGTAGGACATACAACTCATTCACCCCTGAAAACACATTTGAACTCTCCCTATTCAAAGGTTGGAATAATTCATTATAAAATTTCAGGGGTAAATGAGATAAGGATCCCCCGTTCCACTGCCATAAACTTTAACTTAGGTGTTAAAAGTTGGGTAGCATATTGTCCTAGTAGCAAGATATATGCTCTCTCTCTCACCTCAGCCACGCTGCCCACTTCAATCTCTGCCACCTTAACTGGACAATCACCACGGACACTGAAGCCAAATCCCTGGACAGCACTTCGGTCAAGCACTACGGTTCGAGGAGCTGACCATTCGTTCTTAGCATTGAAAATCAACACAGGGCCCTGAAACATGATTGATAACACAAAATATCAACACGGATCTTAGATTATGTGTCTCTTGGGGCTGTAATTATTACAAGCAGATCATTGATATATTGTAATTGTACTACTAAACACACCTTCTCTAATGAGGGTCATCCAAGAATTTTAAAGATGAAATTTAAATACTCATTATAAAATAAATTTGGTAAGTTGTCCAGTTTGTGTTTGTTTTGCTAGTCAGACAACTTCCCCCCCCCCCCCCCCCCCCCCCC